ACACCACTGACTAATTTAGCTACCATCAAGTCAGTCTCACCACACACCACTGACTAATTTAGCTACCATCAAGTCAGTCTCACCACACACCACTGACTAATTTAGCTACCATCAAGTCAGTCTCACCACACACCACTGACTAATTTAGCTACCATCAAGTCAGTCTCACCACACACCACTGACTAATTTAGCTACCATCAAGTCAGTCTCACCACACACCACTGACTAATTTAGTTACCATCAAGTCAGTCTCAGCACACACTACTGACTAATTTAGCTACCATGAAGTCTGTCTAAGCACGTATCACTGAAATCATTAATCGTGGGATCATTTGTTATGTAATTGAAGGCAAACTGTAATTGGTGTAATTTGTGTAATTGTGGCAGAAAAATATTTTTTGCATAAAAATAACAAGCAATTATGCCCCCTTTTTAAACCAGGTTTTTCTTTTTTTGAGCAGGGCACAATCTATTGTCTCTAGCATGGTGCCCATATATGTAAGTCATGCTAAGCCTTCCCTTAATGGTGCCCATATTTGTTTGTAGGTTAACGCAAAACCTTCTTTTAATATTGATAAAACACAATTACGTTCCACATTTCTGATTTTTCGTATTTGATTAATTTAGTGCAATGCCTTCCATGTATTTTATTTTAAACTTCGATGTTTCACCTCAATGTAGTACTTGAAAAGATTAAAATTCAAATATTACGGCTATACGAGAGAAGCATAAAATCTCAATTAGATTCAAATCTTACAGCTATTTACAAGACACCAAGGTCAACCAACTATACAGCCACCAAGGCCAACCCTCTATACAAGACACCAAGGCCAACCCTCTATACAAGACACCAAGGCCAACCTCTATACAAGACACCAAGGCCAACCCTCTATACAAGACACCAATGCCAACCTCTATTCAAGAAACTAAATGTTAAGTGAACTCTGTATCGTTATCATCATTTACAAGTAAATGAGAGAGATTAATTCAATCAAATTCTTTTCGATTGTAGGAAAAAAGTCACAGAAAAAACCTCACAGGAAAAAATAAACCGGGAGTGATCTCCCCCTAAACTTTCTCGAATATTCTGATATAAAACAACGGGATCGGTAACTCGGGATATAGACATGGCTTTTAATCCATTTTTAATTATTTAAACTTTTAAAAAAAGAATAGAATCTCGTAGAAAAAAAATTGCGCACCATGTGACCGGCAAACAATATCTGCATAATAGTTCGGAATAATAGTACTTTATAAATTCATATTAGTTTTTTGCGAAATCGGAAATTTCCGGTCAACGGAAATTACTCAAAATTTGACTAAAAGGCAGAGAATTAAATATTTTACTTACATGTGAAATTTATTATTTATCTATCAGAAAAAGTACTTTTGAAAATTGAAATTAGAATAAGTTCCACTTTCGGTTACCGGAAATCGCTTGAAAGTTGATACAGAACTATAAATTTGATATAATACTTATATATGAACTTTCACCAACCTAGCTGTAACAGTATTCAAGTTATCGTGTTCAAAGACAAACATACACACACGCACACAAACACACATACATACACAGACATACGGTAAAAATTGCAAAAATATTTTTTTCCGACACAGGGAGGCGTAAAACGTCGAGATTTGTAAAAATATCTTTTTTTTTTCACTATTACAATACTTCTTTTATACTTCGTATACGAGAAAGTTAAACAAAAAGGAAAAATGTCGCAAATGTCTATTTTCATGAGGTTTGTTAATACTTTTATGTATTAAATTTTCAGAAAATGCAAATAAACTTACGATTAATTAAATGATATGTGATATGCGTAGGTTGTATACGTATTGTAGTATTTACTAACACCTGCATGGTGTCACCTATAGATAGTTTCACCTATGGATGGTATCACACCTGGATGGTGTCGCCTCTAGATAGTGTCACTATCTTGATGGTGTCTCACCCTAGATAGTTTCACCCCTGGATGGTGTCACCACTGTATGTGCCACACCTGAGGTTCAAACCACTAGCCACCCTTTACGTTCTACTACCCACTTTGTTGTATTGTGATTACATTGGCACAATCTTAAAGTGTCCCCATCTCCTGTTATGTTTGGATGTCGGGATTTGATTAGGTCACTTCTGCCTGTTAAGCAAACTGCATTGGAGCGCTCAATTGAAGAGGCCATAAATTAATTCACACAGGTCGAGCCCGTACTTAGGTTTGAAGAAATCAGCTATTGAACTTGGAACACGGACCAAAGCTCTATACTATAGGTAGTGCTATCTTAAACACTCACATCTACAATTGGGTTTAGATTGCTTTGAGACAACAATAATAGAGTTTGCTTTGTTTTGTATTAGTATTAGAAGAAGTAAATACACAGTCATAACGGCTTTTGACATTTTTTTTTTAACTTAAGTAAAAAACAAACTTTCTCGAATGGACGAGCAGATATTTTTAGAAATATTCACTAACCACATTTCTCATCCATCGCCCCCCACTAAATATGGCCCATTATATATATATATATATATATATATATATATATATATATATATATATATATATATATATATATATATATATATATATGTGGGGGGGGGGGCATATATATATATATATATAATGTAAAGTTAAACTATGTATGTATGTAGCGAACCGCGGATTCCTAAGGAATATAAGAAAATAAAATACTTCATCGTCATAGTGTTATATATCTAAGTGCTCATCGTCTAAATTCATGATTTTAAAAGTTAATATTGAAGGTGTTGTAAAACAATTTTCATTTTCTAAACTTATAATAGTGATAATTGTCGTCATGACCATAAAACAAAATTTAAGAACATGTATCACCTTTCACAAAAATTCCAATTGTGTCTGAAATTATTTACATTTACTTCTTTAGCTCTCATTACGTCCCTTTATAAATTAGAAAAACACAATTACTTCCCTTTGTAAAATATCACAATTTGGGGGGGGGGGGGATTTTTACTTTTTATTACTTTGTTTGGTGCTAGGTAAAAAAAATAATTACATAATTAGCGTTGAGCAAGTGCAATGTGGTAAGTATTTTAAATACTGTCTTTTATTTATTTTAAAAGTGAACGTACTGTCTACTAATTATTATTTTTAATAAAAAAAACAGTTGACGTAAAAAAGACATCTTTATTCGGGAACGGGAATTCCCGCAGCTTATTATTTATGTATATTTTTTTGCGCACGAAGGGGAATTCGTTTTTGTTTGTCTTTTTTTTTTACCTCACGATAGTGCGTACTTTTTTAAGCAGATTTTTTAACAATACATTTAGCAGTGTAAAGTTTTACTACGTTCTCGATTGTAAAGGCAAGATCGAAGAAACAGTTTCTTTTAATATGCTTATAAGAGCGCATAAGACTAAGAATAAGTTGGGGTACTATAGTCGTTTACTAAGTTGAATGAAGCGTTATTGTTTGCGTTTAGGCTTGCGGTTGTGTTTCTTTTTGTATTTGTGTTTCCTTTTTTGTTTACGTTTGTGGGTTTTTTTTGGGGGGTTTTGGTTTGTGGATGGGTTTGTGTTCGGCGTTTGTAATTGTTTTCGTTTGGTTTTTTGTTAGTGTTTGTGTTTGTGGTTTTTTTTCCGTTTGTGGTTCGGTTTGTGTATGCATTTTTTGTCTGTTTTTGTTTGTGTTTGTATTTGTGTTTGTGTGTGTGTTATATTTGCGTTTTTTTGTGTTTTGTTTTGATTGGTTGTGGTTAGGGTTTATTCTAAAAGTAATATATTTCCTAAACCCAAATAATGTCGGGTACCTATATGCTGATTACTGAACATACAAGTCATGGTCCTTTACAGATAGGATTTCAGAAATCGGAGTTTTTAAAAGACAAGAAACGTATTTTTGAATGTGGGGTCTGGTTATTTTGTGATGATAAGTGACAGACGTGATGTCATTTATGGATGACCCCCGAAACCAAGTTATCTAATGATAACGGGTAGTCTAGTATGTATAAATAAATAAATAAATAAATAAATAAATATATATATATATATATATATATATAAATATATATATATATATATATATATATATATATATATAGAGAGAGAGAGAGAGAGAGAGAGAGAGAGAGAGAGAGAGAGAGAGAGAGAGATAACCATCACCATTTTCATGTTTGAATAAATATACATCTGTGTCGGCCCCAGGCTAGAATATTCCAGTGACTGTCGAAGATAAATGTTCAGGTTGAGGTCATCTCACAAAATGATTATCTCAATCCGTTTGGAAGAGATGGGATTATATTTCTATTGATATATCACTCGACGCTGCACATGGCCGTGCGCTGGCCCTAGCCCGCGTAAATAAACAGAAATGATCGTCCGTCGTCATTAGCAGACGACCAGTTCTGGCGGGAAGTCTGGAAGCAAGCCGCCAAGTATGCCGAGGCTGGGAGAATCAAAGAGCTAAATTTAGCGGCGATTGAATTCCCGGACGCGAGTGTGGTTGCGTTGTGCCAACATAAACATTTCTAGTTGTTTGACCTGCTGGGAGGGGGGGGGGGGGAGGGGCAGCTTGCTATCAGGCGAAAGAGGTTTCTCCTGCCTGCTGGGAGGGGGGGGGGGGAGGGGCAGCTTGCTATCAGGCGAAAGAGGTTTCTCCTGCCTGCTGGGAGGGGGGGGGGGAGGGGCAGCTTGCTATCAGGCGAAAGAGGTTTCTCCTGCCTGCTGGGAGGGGGGGAGGGGCAGCTTGCTATCAGGCGAAAGAGGTTTCTCCTGCCTGCTGGGAGGGGGGGGGGGAGGGGCAGCTTGCTATCAGGCGAAAGAGGTTTCTCCTGCCTGCTGGGAGGGGGGGGCAGCTTGCTATCAGGCGAAAGAGGTTTCTCCTGCACCAAACCCGCCTACCCGTACGTCGGATATCAAATATTCAGATTCCGACAGACATAATTCAACGTAACCGGTAGTCGGAAGACGGCTTTAGAATGCCGGCTTTGGAATGCCGGCTTTAGAATGCCGGCAGTTGTGTACTCACCCCGTTCTGGAAGATGACCGAAGCACTAGAGTCTGACGTCATCAGCCGGTCGTGGGCCACGAATACGTCCCACAAGATGGCCACGAGACCGTGAAGGAGAAGCGCGCCAAAGAAGTTAATGTGCAGACGAATCCGATGTTGCCTTCTTAAAGACCTGCAATAATGCGAGACGTTATAAGAGAGATATTGCATCCTTTCTTCTATGTACCAATATCTAATCCATATCTAACAATCACCTACCCACCCACCTATCCCACCCACCTATCCGCCCACCTATCCACCAACCTATCCACCCACCTACCCACCCACCTACCCACCCACCTACCCACCCACCTACCCATCCACCTACAAACCCATCTATCCCACCCACCTATCCCATCCAACTATCCCATCCACCTATCCCACCCACCTACAAACCCACCTATCCCACCCACCTACCCACTCACCTACCCACCCACCTACCCACCCACTTATACCACCGACCTACCCACCCACCTATCCCACCCACCTACAAACCCACCTACCCACCCACCTACCCACCCACCCACCCACCTATCCCACCCAACTACCCACCCACCTATCCCACCCAACTACCCACCCACCTATCACATCCAACTATCCCACCCACCTACAAACCCATCTATCCCACCCACCCACCCACCTATCCTCCCACCTACCCACCAACCAATCCCACCCACCTACCCACCCACCCGTCTATACCACTCACCTACCCACCCACCTACCCACCCAACTACCCACCCACCTATCCCACCCGCCTACCTACCCACCTACTCAGCCACCTACCCACCCACACACCTATCCCACCCACCTACCCACCCACCTATCCCACCAACGTACCCACCCACCTACCCACCTACCTATCCCACCCACCTACCCACCCACCTATCCCACCAACGTACCCACCCACCTACTCACCTACAAACCCATCTATTCCACCCATCTATTCCACCCACCTATCCCACCCACCTACCCACCCACCTATTCCATCCACCTATCCCATCCAACTATCCCATCAACCTATCCCACCCACCTACAAACCCACCTATCCCACCCACCTACCCACCCACCTATCCCATCCAAATATCCCATCCACTTACCCACCCATCTATCCCACCCACCTATCCCACCCACCTACAAACCCATCTATCCCACCCACCTACCCACCCACCTATCCCACCCACCTATCCCACCCACCTACCCACCCACCTATCCCACCCACCTACCCACCCACCTATCCCACCCACCTACCCACCCACCTATCCCACCCACCTACCCACCCACCTATCCCACCCACCTACCCACCCACCTACCCACGAACCTATCCCACCAACGTATCCACCCACCTACCCACCTACAAACCCACCTATCCCACCCACCTACCCACCCACCTATCCCATCCAAATATCCCATCCACTTACCCACCCACCTATCCCACCCACCTATCCCACCCACCTATCCCATCCAACTATCCCATCCACCTATCCCACCCACCTACAAACCCACCTATCCCACCCACCTACCCACCCACCTATCCCATCCAAATATCCCATCCACTTACCCACCCACCTATCCCACCCACCTAACCACCCACCTACAAACCCACCTATCCCACCCACCTATCCCATCCAACTATCTCATCCACCTACCCACCCACCTATCACACCCACCCACCCACCTACAAACCTACCTATCCCACCCACCTATCCCACCCACCTATCCCAGTCAACTATCCCACCCACCTACCCACCCACCTATCCCACCCACCTACCCACCCACACACGCCCACACACCCCTCACCTGTAGAGCAGAAAGATGCCGATGGCAGGCACAAGGAGTCCAATACTGGCGATGTTACACGATAAAGCCAAATACAGGGAGACCATACGACTCTAAAACAAAAAAAAGTTGAGCCCAAAATTAAAATTATTCTTGTCTTTGCTTCAAAAACAATTAGGTATCGAATTTCAATACCACACGTGATCTCATTGGTTACCTCATTGGTTACGTCATTGGTTACCTCTTGGTTATCTCATTGGTTACCTCATTAGTTACGTCATTGGTTACCTCATAATTAATGAATTAATCAACAATCCTGTAGGAAGACGTTTGGCAGTAGACGCCATAGACATGAGGTTGGACCTGAGGTTGGACCTGAGGTTGGACCTGAGGTTGGACCTGAGGTTGGACCTGAGGTTGGAGGTTGGACCTGAGGTTGGACCTGAGGTTGGACCTGAGGTTGGACCTGAGGTTGGACCTGAGGTTGGACCTGAGGTTGGACCTGGGGTTGGAGGTTGGATCTGAGGTTGGACCTGAGGTTGGACCTGAGGTTGGACCTGGGGTTGGACCTGGGGTTGGACCTGAGGTTGGACCTGAGGTTGGACCTGAGGTTGGACCTGGGGTTGGAGGTTGGATCTGAGGTTGGACCTGAGGTTGGACCTGAGGTTGGACCTGGGGTTGGACCTGGGGTTGGACCTGAGGTTGGACCTGGGGTTGGACCTGAGGTTGGACCTGAGGTTGGCATCTGAGGTTGGACCTGAGGTTGGACCTGGGGTTGGACCTGGGGTTGGACCTGAGGTTGGACCTGAGGTTGGACCTGAGGTTGGACCTGGGGTTGGAGGTTGGATCTGAGGTTGGACCTGAGGTTGGACCTGAGGTTGGACCTGGGGTTGGACCTGGGGTTGGACCTGAGGTTGGACCTGGGGTTGGACCTGAGGTTGGACCTGAGGTTGGACCTGAGGTTGGACCTGGGGTTGGACCTGAGGTTGGACCTGAGGTTGGACCTGAGGTTGGACCTGAGGTTGGACCTGAGGTTGGACCTGAGGTTGGACCTGGACCTGAGGTTGGACCTGAGGTTTGACCTGGGGTTGGACCTGAGGTTGGACCTGAGGTTGGACCTGGGGTTGGAGGTTGGACCTGAGGTTGGACCTGGGGTTGGACCTCAGGTTGGACCTGGGGTTGGAGGTTGGACCTGAGGTTGGACCTGAGGTTGGACCTGGGGTTGGACCTGAGGTTGGACCTGAGGTTGGACCTGAGGTTGGACCTGAGGTTGGACCTGGGGTTGGACCTGAGGTTGGACCTGAGGTTGGACCTGGGGTTGGACCTGGGGTTGGAGGTTGGACCTGAGGTTGGCATCTGAGGTTGGACCTGGGGTTGGACCTGAGGTTGGACCTGATGTTGGACCTGAGGTTGGACCTGAGGTTGGACCTGAGGTTGGACCTGAGGTTGGACCTGAGGTTGGACCTGAGGTTGGACCTGAGGTTGGACCTGAGGTTGGACCTGAGGTTGGACCTGGGGTTGGAGGTTGGACCTGAGGTTGGACCTGAGGTTGGACCTGAGGTTGGACCTGAGGTTGGACCTGAGGTTGGACCTGAGGTTGGACCTGGGGTTGGACCTGAGGTTGGACCTGAGGTTGGACCTGGGGTTGGAGGTTGGACCTGAGGTTGGACCTGAGGTTGGACCTGAGGTTGGACCTGAGGTTGGACCTGAGGTTGGACCTGAGGTTGGAGGTTGGTCCTGAGGTTGGACCTGAGGTTGGACCTGAGGTTGGACCTGAGGTTGGACCTGAGGTTGGACCTGAGGTTGGACCTGAGGTTGGACCTGAGGTTGGACCTGAGGTTGGACCTGAGGTTGGACCTGAGGTTGGACCTGAGGTTGGACCTGAGGTTGGACCTGAGGTTGGACCTGGGGTTGGACCTGAGGTTGGACCTGAGGTTGGACCTGAGGTTGGACCTGAGGTTGGACCTGGGGTTGGAGGTTGGACCTGAGGTTGGACCTGGGGTTGGAGGTTGGACCTGAGGTTGGACCTGAGGTTGGACCTGAGGTTGGAGGTTGGACCTGATGTTGGAACTGAGGTTGGACCTGAGGTTGGACCTGGGGTTGGAGGTTGGACCTGAGGTTGGACCTGAGGTTGGACCTGAGGTTGGACCTGAGGTTGGAGGTTGGACCTGAGGTTGGAGGTTGGACCTGAGGTTGGACCTGAGGCTAACCGGGGCCGTCTGTCGGTCAACACCACTCGCTACGTCACGTGCCTGATGTATAATGCTCGCAAATTTGTCTCAGGGGAACTAGCGGCCAACTTAAATCAACCCACCCCCCCCCCATTCCAGCTCATTCCATTATTTCATAGAGTGAAGCCAGAAATTGTTGTCAAGATTTATTGCCTCTAACCCTAATCTCTACTTAAAACTAATTTTAACATTTTAATTCTAACCCTCTAATCCTAAAATCCCCTTAACTCTATCCTCTAAGATCTTAACTCTAACCCTCTAATCCTAAAATCTCTGCGACGATCAACTTGGGGATGGGGAGAACGAGACCACCGCACCGCCCCCCCCCCCCCCCCCACTTCATCTATCAAATCTTGACAACCTAATTATTTTCACTGGAAAATATCAAATACACGCCCCTAGCGATCATAGTGTCAGGTTAGTGGAAAAATTAGAATAAGGTTAGTGGGAGAGTCAGGTTAGTGGGAGAGTCAGTTTATTGAGAGTCAGGTTAGTGGGAGAGTCAGGTTAGTGGGAGAGTCAGTTTAGTGGGAGAGTCAAGTTATTGGGAGATTCAGATTAGTGAGAGTCAGACCGCTAACAATCCTGGAATTCTAAGAAACATCGGGATGTCACTCCCACCCACCCCCTACGCCAATGCTATCAGGGTTCTCCGCACTAAGGTCGTCATTTACCCCCCCCCCCCCCTCCCTCAAGTATTTGCACAAGTTTCTCTGGCACCGACAGACAGACGAGAACATGTTTCCGGTCTGCGGATAACCTTCAGGAATGTTCCGGTCAAAGTTCACTTGCTGGTAGTCCGGAAAATTCTTGAACTAAGTTGTATAGAAGAGATCAACTCTTCGATTTATCATTGTCTAAATTCAATTTGTTCTATTCATCGTCGCTGTTCTGTTTGAAGTTATCTTGAAGCAGCTAAAACACGTTCCAGCTCATTCGATTCTTATTGCGTTTGTTCCCATTTCAATTATTTACAAGAGGCAATTCGATTTTTTAAAACAATTATGGGAATCAATGCTAATAGGAAAGCTTAAAAAAGATAATTATAATTGAAATAAGGATTGATACAAAATTAAAACTAGAAGGCTATAAATATTTACTCGCCAATCTCTTCTTTGGGAGAACATCAGTGAGGGTTTAACTTGTACCGTGCGTGTGGTTGTTTTATGGGTTGTAAAAAGTGTGTGTTGTTTTATGGGTTGTAAAAAGTGTGGGTTGTTTTATGGGTTGTAAAAAGTGTGGGCTGTTTTATGGGTTGTAAAAAGTGTGGGTTGTTTTATGGGTCATATAGTGTGGGCTGTTCTAGTGGTTGTATAAAATGTGACATGACATGACATGACGCACTTAAGTTCAGGAAAGTTTGTAAACCATAAGATTAAACCGACAAATCCAAATGAATAAAAAAAGTTGTCTACAATAGAGTTTGCCGTCTACGTCCAGAATATGCAAATCTTGCCGTCGTCTGGTGTGGGGGATGATCCAAGAGTTCCAGAAAATCTGATCGCTTGTTTAGATTGCAGCTCATTTAAAGGAAACCTTTCCCGTTGGATCCAGAAACTCGTTGGGTGCGTTCAAGAAGATTGAAAAAATAATATTTGGATAGGACTCGTTGACGGACTGCTGGCCTCTTGAACAGTGGCCCAAACTCGTTCTGGGCCAGTTGGCCATCCACTGGAACATGTGTACTCAAGTAGTCTAGAGATTTGGTGTGTAGTCATTACAGAAGTGTGTACTCACGTGTTTGTCTAGACATTTGGTGTAGTCTGACCACTCGTAGCTCTGGTCCCAACTGTTATTCCCTACAACCAGCCATGTGCCGTTCTCTGTACACGTTTTCTCAGCGTAGCCTGGAGAGTTAAAGCACAACGTGTGGATACGTTATGCTATTATACATCCAAGCAGGGTTGGTTAATCTTCTTTTTATTGTATATATATATATATATATATATATATATATATATATATATATATATATATATATATATATATATATATATATATATGTGTGTGTGTGTATGTGTGTGTCTTTTAGTATTCAGACAACTCCATTTATAATAAAAATGTAATTAATTTACAATTTTACTTATTACAAGCTTTTATTTAACTTGCTTCCTCTGTCGTCAGTCTGTCTGTCTAGATGGAAATGCTGGAGTGAAAATTCGGACATTTCTACTTGACCGATACGATTCACATTTGGCACGTGAGTCAAGACATGAAGACAATGCAATCTGAAATTAAATTTGACTTAATTGGATGCCTAATTAACTTTTTATGAATTAATTAAAATTTGGACCGAATCAATAGGCATGTCTGTCCAACCACACCACACGCGTCATCACGTTCAATAGCTGCGCCATCACCTTCAGTAGGCGCGCGGTATCACGTTCAGTAGGCGCGCAATGGTTTTTAGTCATGTAACTCTATCTATATATATAATTCTCTTCTGGGAGCCGTTACAAAACAAGCTGCAAGCGCCTCCTTGCAGTCCCCTCTCTTTCTCTCTATCACTATCACTACTACCCCCACCCCCACATTGTCTGGTGAGCTGTGTTCACTCTAAATGTTAACAAATCGTAGAGCCGGGTTTCTATTTTCAGTGGCAGCATTGGTACTGTCGAATTCACAAATTATGAATTACTGAAAAGTAGAAAATAAAACAACTAAATAGCGGCGTATGATACGCTGCGGGTCGGCTCGTTGTAAATAAAACATGTAAAGTACTGAAAAAAAATTTCATAAAAAACGTTTTAATAACAAGCTTTTATGTAATAATGCACTAAAAAGTAGAAAATTATAGACTACTATTTAAATAACTATAAAGAAAAGCGTGGGTCAATTTAGTATCTATTGGATACCTTTACTAATGTTAAGGAAGACACTAACGCTTTTCTTTATAGTTATTTAAATAGTAGTCTATAATTTATTTTCTACTTTTTAGTGCATTATTACATAAAAGCTTGTTATTAAAACGTTATTTATGAAATTTTTTATAGTTTCTTTTTGATTGATACCATGTAGGCCTATTTCGTATTTTATATTTTTGTAAGTATATATATATATATATATATATATATATATATATATATATATATATATATATATATATATATATATATATATATATATATATATAAAGCTAAGTGGTCGGATACCGGAAAGGACACTTCCAGGACACTGCGAGCGCTTCAAATTTGGCAGGCTCCGAAATTACTGGCTAAATTTTGATATCCCCACTTGAATATTTATTCATTATGTTACTGGATAAATTTTGATATCCCCAATTGAATATTTATTCATTATGTTACTGGCTAAATTTTGATATCCCCAATTGAATATTTATTCATTATGTTACTGGATAAATTTGATACCCACACTTGAATATTTATTTCAATTCTTTTTTTTTTTTTGCCTTTAGAAGACTAGATTATACGTCCTACTTTGATCAAATCTTTTTAAGTTTAATGTTCCAACTATTGGCTTGATTATCCTCATTAGTTGTCTTAATTATATCGATTCCTATCGCCCGAAGATCTCTAATTGAATGACCTTAGAAAAACGACTGATCTTCATCCACTGATGGTAATATTTCAGTCTTCCGTCAAAAACTGTTTGATATGATCCGAGGCTAAATTGTTGCCCACTTATACATATTTAATTTTCATTAAATTGCAGCCTCAAAAATAAAATTGTCATCAAACTTTTGATGTTCTCTCTAAAACTTCACTTGACTCATGACTACTACAAAGTCACGTTGGCCTTACTTTAGCTGATAGCAACACTTCATATGTCAATCGCAAATGGCTCTAATACATTTACCATTAGATTATCGAGAAAAATTTCATAGCTAATAAGCCCTAAACCATAAAAAAGGATAAAAGAATAATTTAATCTGGAACAAATTTATAATTCAAATTTTAAAAAATAGCCGGATAGGTTGCTATAAAAATTTCTTGAAAAAATCTCACAAATTAGAATAAAAACCTACAAAAAAGCAACCATTTCAATCAGTTTAATCAACGTGAGGCTCAGATTTTTCTGGTATAGCCCTCTGGCTAGAGGGGGAAATAGCGTTAAATTGAGTTAGGTGGGAAAATGTCGTTATAATGGGCTAGGTGGGAAAATGTCGTTATTATGGGCTAGGTGGGAAAATGTCGTTATAATGGGCTAGGTGGGAAAATGTCGTTATAATGGGCTAGGTGGGAAAATGTGGTTATAATGGGATAGGTGGGAAAATGTCGTTATAATGGGTTAGGTGGGAAAATGTCGTTATAATGGGCTAGGTGGGAAAATGTCGTTATAATGGGTTAGGTGGGAAAATGTTGTTATAATGGGCTAGGTGGGAAAATGTCGTTATAATGAGCTAGGTGGGAAAATGTCGTTATAATGGGCTAGGTGGGAAAATGTCGTTATAATGGGCTAGGTGGGAAAATGTCGTTATAATGGGCTAGGTGGGAAAGGATATGAGCAGACCAGACCAGGGCAACTGACTCACGTGAAGTTATTGAGTACTTGAGGAAGCCGGGACAGCTGATGTAAGCCGTAGAGCCGGCCCATGTGTCGTCCCAGCAGCCGTAGCCATCCCAGGTCCTGGGGCAGGTCCCCTCAGGTCGTGGGGGTGAGTCCAGGTGTCGCTGGCAGCAAGAGGACGCTTCCTGACAACATTTCTTCCAGCTCAGGCAGTTGTCTGAAGACACAAGTTGTGCCAGTCAATATCTTCGATAGAATTGTTTGAAACTCGATTGTTTATACTTAGCTAACCGATGGCATGAGAAGTAATCTATTGGCGTTGACAGTTTTGTCCCACTTCGGTTACCAAGACAAGATTGCAATGCACCTGCCGTCCTACACACAAGATCACAACCCACCTGCCGTCCTACACACAAGATCACAACCCACCTGCCGTAGTTGTCCTTCACACAAGATCACAACCCACCTGCCGTAGTTGTCCTACACACAAGATCACAACCCACCTGCCATCCTACACACAAGATCACAACCCACCTGCCATCCTACACACAAGATCACAACCCACCTGCCGTCCTACACACACGATCACAACCCACCTGCCGTAGTTGTCCTACACACAAGATCACAACCCACCTGCCGTCCTACACACAAGATCACAACCCACCTGCCGTAGTTGTCCTATACACAAATCACAACCCACCTGCCGTAGTTGTCCTACACACAAGATCACAACCCACCTGCCGTAGTTGTCCTACACACAAGATCACAACCCACCTGCCGTCCTACACACAAGATTACAACCCACCTGCCGTAGTTGTCCTACACACAAGATCACAACACACCTGCCGTAGTTGTCCTACACACAAGATCACAACCCACCTGCCGTAGTTGTCCTACACACAAGATCACAACCCACCTACCGTAGTTGTCCTACACACAAGATCACAACCCACCTGCCGTAGTTGTCCTACACACAAGATCACAACCCACCTGCCCTCCAACACACAAGATTACAACCCACCTGCCGTCCTACACACAATATCACAACCCACCTGCCGTAGTTGTCCTACACACAAGATCACAACCCACCTGCCGTAGTTGTCCTACACACAAGATCACAACCCACCTGCCGTAGTTGTCCTACACACAATATCACAACCCACTTGCCGTAGTTGTCCTACACACAAGATTACAACCCACCTGCCGTCCTACACACAAGATCACAACCCAACTGCCGTAGTTGTCCTACACACAAGATCACAACCCCCCTGCCATAGTTGTCCTACACACAAGATCACAACACACCTGCCGTAGTTGTCCTACACACAAGATCACAACCCACCTGCCGTAGTTGTCCTACACACAAGATCACAACCCACCTGCCGTCCTACACACAAGATCACAACCCACCTGCCGTAGTTGTCCTACACACAAGATCACAACCCACCTGCCGTAGTTGTCCTACACACAATATCACAACCCACCTGCCGTAGTTGTCCTACACACAAGATCACAACCCACCTGCAATCCTACACACAAGATCACAACCCACCTGCCATCCTACACACAAGATCACAACCCACCTGCCTTCCTACACACAAGATCACAACCCACCTGCCGTAGTTGTCCTACACACAAGATCACAACCCACCTGCCGTAGTTGTCCTACACACAAGATCACAACCCACCTGCCGTAGTTGTCCTACACACAAGATCACAACCCACCTGTCGTCCTACACACAAGATCACAACCCACCTGCCGTAGTTGTCCTACACACAAGATCACAACCCACCCGCCGTCCTACACACACGATCACAACCCACCTGCCGTAGTTGTCCTACACACAAGATCACAACCCACCTGCCGTCCTACACACAAGATCACAACCCACCTGCCGTCCTACACACAAGATCACAACCCACCTGCCGTAGTTGTCCTACACACAAGATCACAACCCACCTGCCGTAGTTGTCCTACACACAAGATCACAACCCACCTGCCGTAGTTGTCCTACACACAAGATCACAACACACCTGCCGTAGTTGTCCTACACACAAGATCACAACCCACCTGCCGTCCTACACACAAGATCACAACCCACCTGCCGTAGTTGTCCTACACACAAGATCACAACCCACCTGCCGTAGTTGTCCTACACACAAGATCACAACACACCTGCCGTAGTTGTCCTACACACAAGATCACAACCCACCTGCCGTAGTTGTCCTACACACAAGATCACAACCCACCTGCCGTAGTTGTCCTACACACAAGATCACAACCCACCTGCCGTAGTTGTCCTACACACAAGATCACAACCCACCTGCCGTCCTACACCCAAGATCACAACCCACCTGCCGTAGTTGTCCTACACACAAGATCACAACCCACCTGCCGTCCTACACACACGGTCACAACCAACCTGCCGTAGTTGTCCTACACACAAGATCACAACCCACCTGCCGTCCTACACACAAGATCACAACCCACCTGCCGTAGTTGTCCTACACACAAGATCACAACCCACCTGCCGTAGTTGTCCTACACACAAGATCACAACCCACCTGCCGTAGTTGTCCTACACACAAGATCACAACCCACCTGCCGTAGTTGTCCTACACACAAGATCACAACCCACCTGCCGTCCTACACCCAAGATCACAACCCACCTGCCGTAGTTGTCCTACACACAAGATCACAACCCACCTGCCGTCCTACACACACGGTCACAACCAACCTGCCGTAGTTGTCCTACACACAAGATCACAACCCACCTGCCGTCCTACACACAAGATCACAACCCACCTGCCGTCCTACACACAAGATCACAACCCACCTGCCGTAGTTGTCCTACACACAAGATCACAACCCACCTGCCGTAGTTGTCCTACACACAAGATCACAACCCACCTGCCGTAGTTGTCCTACACACAAGATCACAACCCACCTGCCGTAGTTGTCCTACACACAAGATCACAACACACCTGCCGTAGTTGTCCTACACACAAGATCACAACCCACCTGCCGTAGTTGTCCTACACGCAAGATCACAACCCACCTGTCGTCCTACACACAAGATCACAACCCACCTGCCGTAGTTGTCCTACACACAAGATCACAACCCACCTGCCGTAGTTGTCCTACACACAAGATCACAACCCACCTGTCGTCCTACACACAAGATCACAACCCACCTGCCGTAGTTGTCCTACACACAAGATCACAACCCACCTGCCGTCCTACACACAAGATCACAACCCACCTGCCGTCCTACACACAATATCACAACCCACCTGCCGTAGTTGTCCTACACACAAAATCACAACCCACCTGCCGTAGTTGTCCTACACACAAGATCACAACCCACCTGCCGTCCTACACACAAGATCACAACCCACCTGCCGTCCTACACACAAGATCACAACCCACCTGCCGTAGTTGTTCTACACACAAGATCAGCCTGCGTGTCGTTGGCGGCGTTTGGGATGAGAATGTCATATTTTTTAAAGGCCGTCTGGTTTGTTCCGAGCACCACAAGTATGGGCTGGGTTGGGTGGATTCTGACACTGCGGGACTGAGTGATGTAAAAGTAACACTTTGCGCAGGCGTGAAGATTAAATACTTCCTGTGTGAAATTCCCAAACTTACTCCGACAGAAGTTCTTTTGCGCAAAGGTTTCAAAAACCTGCAGAAAACAATTAACAGTTTTAAAAAAAATTAAGTTTGTTGGGGAAAAGTCACAGTAAAAAAGCTACAGAAAAAAAATCAAAAGGAAATAAGGTCAAAAATGTGTATTTTCATGGAATTTATTATGTGTGTAGGATGCTATATTTATGTTAATATTTATGACACTTTTAAGTTTGAAGTAGGCCTATGTAAGTCTAAATTCTGTTAAACGCATAACATTTAATATAATAAAATATAATGTAATAGAATCTTCAGTTGCTGTCCTGAACACGCGACTACAATAGTTCAACCATCTTTACTGTCCAAATTTATTGCGCTTGATAAAGCTTAGGATCAAGGTAAATAACGACACGGTACAGCAGCTGTCATTGGCGCAATCATCTACCATAAACAATATTGACCGTCAAGGCCAATCGAGGAAAGGCCTACTGCAAAAAAAAAATGAAGCAAAACAGAACCATATGCCTACATTTCTTTTATAATTAATTTTACTAGCGGGTATTTATATAAAACTTTATTTACTGACTTAAATTATGAATGAAATTTGTTTTTAAACATTGTCTTATTACATTGCCTTTGACACACTTAAAGCATATTTCGTAGGACATTTAGTTTCGTTAATTTGGAGATTATATAAGGATGTGTAGAGTATTTGAGGATGTAAGGTATGCAAGATTATTCTGAGTGTATAACTATGTTGAGGGTATATGAGGTTATGGAGTGTATATAATGATGTGGTGAGTATTTAAGGATTTAAGACTGTGGGTTTCGGGGGTCATCCGAAAATGATATCACGTCTGTCACTTATCATCACAAAATAACCAAACCCCACATTCAAAAAGACGTTTTTTATCTTTTAAAAATACAGATTTCGGTTGAGCATAGGTCTAGCCACACTATCCCTTCATATAATGACGTCACAGGTGACCTTCTCAACTCTACTTCACCTGCCCAGTGTCCCGCCAAGTCTCAGACAACATGTTTTTATCGTTTATAAAACGATTCCGACCGAGCATGTCTCTGACCACACTATCCCTTCATATGCTTAGGACAAAGAAACAGATGAACTCTACTTCACCAGCTCTGTATCCCGCCAAGTTCAGATAGGCAACTTTATCTTACACATCTAAAAAAATGAAAAAAAAAATTGACGTGATGTGTCTAGAACCCGTGCCACCCGCATGAAAGCCTATGGCACTAACAACTTAGCTATTTAGACTCCTGACATTACTAATGATTTTTATGATATAGCTTAATACTTTGAGTCTCCTTGTGCAACTTGATTTACGCGCATAGGCCCTATCTATATCTAAATCTAAGTCTAGTAACATTCAAATTAAATTTTATCTTAAAATAGCCAATACCATAGCTAACCAAACAAAGATTTATATAAAATAATGAAGGTCTGAAATAGATTCTAGATTTAGAATTTACATAAAGTCTAGATCTAGAATTTACGCTAAGTCTAGTGACCTAGTTCTAGATTTAGATCTAGATTCATAGCTTTTTCTTCAGCTGATCTGTAGATCTAGAGAAATTTATTGTAAAACTAAATGAAAAAGGCAGTTGAAAATTTATACAAGTGTTGGAACGTAATAAATGCAGCAAACGAACGTATTGTTAAAGCTATAGCCGACAGAAAATTAGCTTTAGAACGCGTTAAACATTGGAATGGGAACACTATCTTCTTCGATAGAAGCCGCCATTGTTGATGTAAAAAGTAAACAAATCATGTGACGTCACTATTCAGTCAAAGTAAAGACACTTTTTGAAACTTTTAAAATTAATGTGGTTAATCTACCAATGAATAAATACATTAATTAACGTCTTTAAATAAATTTGTGATTAAAAGTCTGTCTGAAAACAAACATTGTTCTCTACCTACATACTATTTTACAGCTCTACACATAGTGCAGATTCTATCCAGTAGCCAATCAAACAAACAAACAAATAAATATTCAAACTTGAGTTTTAGTAGTATTTAGATAAGATGTGCGCCACTGTCTTCTATCTATTCCACCTCTGTCTTCTGCCCTCTGTCTTACTGTGCCGCCACTGCCTTCTATCTATTCCACCTCTCTTCTGCCTTCTGTCTTACTGTGCCGCCACTGCCTTCTATTTATTCCACCTCTGTCTTCTGCCCTCTGTCTTACTGTGCCGCCCATGATAAATTAGCACTGTTAGTATTTGTCCCCTTAGATCTGATGCAGACTACGGCTTCATCAATCTAAGGCCAGAAAAGTTTTAATTAACTTCCCTGACGTGTCCAGCTTCACGAGTATTTGCCCTTGTCTCACGGAAGATTTTTTTCCCCTCCCTCCCAGAATTCCAAGTTTGGACGTGTCGAAAATTTGTTTCTATTTTAGGAGATCTCCAACTTCTGACAGGTGAGCAAAAAACACGAGAAGCGCGGCAATATTGCCAGGCTTGCCGCGCGGCAATACTGCCAGGCTTGCCGCGCGGCAATATTGCCAGGCTCACCTCGCACAAAGCCAGCTATTGTTGCCTACCAAATGTTTGTGAAACCTACAAGCAGGTGACCTACAAATTTGCAAGCAGGGGTCCCATAATTTTTATGTAGGGGACACAAAATTTACAATCAGGAGACCCAGAAATTTGTAAGAAGGGAACCATAAATTTGCAAATAGGGGTCTATTTATTTGCAGACAGAGCGCCAACAAATTAGCAAGCAGGGAACCCAGAAATTTGCAAATAACTTAAACAAATGTGGTAAATGCAGTAGCAGAGCATCTGGGTACAGAAAGAAACACTAAAATAATTTCACTTAGAAAGTGACAGGTAAACATCTACCTATATCAGGGTGTGACAGGTAAACATCTACCTATATCAGGAAGTGACAGGTAAACATCTACCTATATCAGGGTGTGACAGGTAAACATCTACCTATATCAGGGTGTGACAGGTAAACATCTACCTATATCAGGGTGTGACAGGTAAACATCTACCTATATCAGGGTGTGACAGGTAAACATCTACCTATATCAGGATGTGACAGGAAGACACATACCTGTAACAGGAAAAGGCAGGTAAAGATGGAGCACATCCCAAGACGTCCCATGGTAGACTGTCAGCGATTCACACATTTTCTATTCTCATCAGCAGTGTCGCGACGTCAAACTGGAGAATAGAGCAATTGTAACGATTCACATCGACATCACAATTTAAGATCACATATCATCCATTCATATTTCGCTTTAAACCAGACCACATTAACTTTTATTTTCACGTGAAATGTTTATTTTTAATATCAATTTGCTCAACACTACTAAGAAATAATTGATTTTATTTTGTCGTGACAACAGCATGATATCATTATTTTGTCGTGTATTATTTTCGTTGTTTTTTTCCTCGGTGGTGTAGTGGGCCACTGGTCCGGCACAAAAACACAGTCCAATGTTTGCATGCAGGTTGGACTACCCAAAATTAGAGAAGCTTTGTTTATTACATGTTTCTATTATCAAAGTTTATTTTACTTAATCTGGTGGGTGCTGTGTTTGTAGAATGATAATAGTAATAATATAATCGTTGTAAAATGTGTATTTATAAGATGCTTTTAGGTGCTCGTATATGACAGCTTTTATCTTTTTTTCTGCTTTTGTACAACTTGACAGGGGCTACAGATGATATCATAATGTTGTGACCCTAGTTTAGCAATTGTCAGCTATCTTCTAATTTACTTTGAAGTAGATAATAGCATCAGGGTTGTAACGAAGTGCACAAATATCTGTCGCATTGAATTCTAGATATGTCTGACTGGTCTGTTGAGAGACGCTGATTTGTATGGTAGGAGTGGTGTGTTGAGAGAGGCTGGTCTCTGATGAGACTTTTGAGAGAGGCTAGTCTGTTGCGAGAGGCTGGCCTGTTGTATGGTAAAACCGTTCTGTAGAGAGAGGCTGGCCTGTTGTATGGTAAGACTGTTCTGTAGAGAGAGGCTGGCCTGTTGTATGGTAAGACTGTTCTGTAGAGAGAGGCTGATCTGTTGCTGGTATATTGAAATTTATAACTGATCTTTAGTTTGTTAAGTCTGACTGGAATATTTTTGTGAGTAATAAAATGACATTATCTTGTTACTTGGCACCTTGAGATTGTCAACTAAATTTAAACAAACTTTTCCCTCTTCTTTATGGTAGCATCGGTAAATACAACTTTTTATCATGTGATTAAATAATTTCAAGTTAGATCGGAAATCTAAACATGTAATACACATCAATGTTTCAAGTTAATTGCTAAGCTCATACCATTAAAGCATGCTTATTATTTATTGAACTGAATAGCCATCTCAATTTTGGCAACTAAAATCAAAATTAATCATAAAAGAATTTACTAAAGACAACTCACCATGTCGTTTAACACGTACGCCAAACATTTTGTGACCTAACGTATAAAAATTTCTTACCACGTAGCTAAACCCTCAATCTAAAGCTAGTAGTGAATTAAAAATAATTAAATTTATAGCACAAGCTTGTGGAAATATAATTCGAATAATATTGTTTTGATTGATCTCTAAATTTACATTCTAGAATGAAGTTCAAGTTTCAAAGCATTGTGTTAGCCTAATAAAAATGTACACAAATCAGTTTGGTTCTCGAAAATATAACTGGAAATAGACAATATTAAACGAATACTCTTTGTTTATTATTCTTAAACATGATAATCTATCTATATATATATAATTCTCTTCTGGGAGACGCTAGAAAACAAGCTGTAAACGCGCTCCCTACCATCCCCACCCCTACATGGTCTTAGTGAGCTGTGGTTCGCGCTATGTTTACCTTCGTGGAGTCGGGTTTAGTGACGGCTATTAGGGGCAGATAATTTAGTTTGAAACGATTTTAAACGTTGAGGGGGGGGGGGGGGGGGGGAAGGAAAGGGGGGGTTATGGTCCTTAACGAGCTACTTATAGTGTTTTAAAGAAATATTTTCAGTGTCAGCGTTGGTACTGTCGAATTCACAAATTATGAATTACTGAAAAGTAGAAAAAACAACTAAATAGCGGCATATGTTATGCCGAGGGCCGACTCGTATGTAATAGAGTAGATGAACATAATAAATCAAATATCCTTACTGTGATGACGCTGGTTTAGCTTAAAAGTCAAGTAGATGGTAGAAACAGACTATAGCTTAGTCAGTTAAACAGACCAATAGAAATACAGGAGCTGACCGGTCGGTGAACGGAAAAAAAAACACAGAAGAAAAGTCAGTTTTTGCTAGGAAAAAAAGTCACAGAAAAAAAAGTCACAATGGAAAAATAATATCGGAAAAAAGTCACAGAAATAAAATCACAGAAAAAAAGTCACAAAAATCTTTTTAGAAAAATTTTAGAAAATATTAAAAACTATTTTGATCTATTTGTTAAAATTTGGTATGCTTATTGTTGTGAGTTGTATTTTTTGATAGCATAAATTATTTATAAACGTTAAAAGCAGTATGGTTTATAACAATTGTAAGTAAAATACTCTAAGATAATTTACACAACAATCTCAACTTTTGTTACGCATTTAGCTAAATACGCGGTAGAAAAGTTAATTATAAAAGAAATTTAGGCACATCATTGTGTTTTGCATATGTTTTGCCCTAGGCTATTCTCTGGTCGGCCTCTCCTCAGTAGGCATTGTCCGAACACGTTTTGTGTCATTTACAGCCTTTGAACCTTGTCAGCTTTCTGTTTTGATCCTAAGTTTTGTTATGTAATGCGCGTTATAAATGTGGGCAGTAAAGGTGGTTGAACTAAGCATAAATATTGTTGCGGTGAGTTGAGGGCAGCAAGTCAGATGAACGTACCATTTCACGGTAATTTAATGTTGGTATTAAAAAAAAAAGATGAAAACCGCGGACTTTGGAGCTTTCTATAAAATGCTATTAATATTATGTTTTACATAATTACAATTTACATATTTCATACTAAATATTTTTAGATGAATTATAAAAATTACTATGTGTATTCAAGCTACACACATTACATTATATTTAATTAATCCTAAGTAATTAGCAATTTCTGAATATTTAATACATAAAAGTATTAACAAATTCCATGCAAATATATATTTGTGACTTTTTTCCTGTGACTTTTTTTTTTGCTGTGACTTTTTTTCCTGTGACTTTTTTCCTACAATCGACCGGTCACGTGGGGGGGTCAGCTGACCGCTGGAGCGTGGGGAGAGGGTACGATGATAGGTAGAGCAAGAGAACTGTCGGAGATTTGTAGAGCTAGGGAACAGTTAGATAGAAGTAGTAGACAGTAGTGTTAGAAGACGGTATATAGTATACACTAGTTAGGTAGAAGTAGAACAATTGATTTGAGTAAATGAAGAATATATCTTGAATTGGACTTGTGTGTAGTGATTTTACAAAACTATACAAGGCCGGGCCACCACCCCCACCCTCACACTTACCCATAAAAACTTGACTGCCGCCATGTAAAATCGTGTGATTGCAGCGTGCGACTGCGTTTCCGATAAAAAGTGTACTGACAATAAAGCGATATTCGTTTTGCGCCGAGATTTTTAGCGCTTGAAATAATAGGCGGTTTGTTTAATTGATTATATCTCGATAGTCATTCTACAGATTTCTATAATATTTTCAGGCATTATGTGAAATCATACTAGTTTTTGATTTACGATAAAAAAAACTGAATTTTTTTTTTGGGACAGACGGCTTGTGACAGTGACGATCGATATTATATATATATATATATATATATATATATATATATATATATATATATATATATATATATATATATATAATAGTTGTATGTCACAGCTTCGCTATGGTGTAAAATACATTCAAACATAACATACAAAAAATAGCTAAACGACATGTAGGTCGACAACACAAAACAATTTTTGAAACAAAATAAAATAAAACAATAAAATATACACACATTACAACCAAAAACAATAAGCGCAATACAATCTGTTTTGTAATCTTTGTAAAAAAAGAATTTTACATAATAGAATATTACTTAAGACAAGCAAACTACAGTAACAAGGTGCTTTTAAAATTTCAAGAAAACTAAATCTAATAGGTGGAACATTCTGAATAATATGACATTCCTCTTCAAACTAAATTATTGGTCCTGCATTTCTGATCCCTTCATCTTTAATTAGCTACAGCTTTTGTATTCGATAAAGAGTATTTTTTTAACATAATAATAAAGTATGGATTAAATCACTGTATTGATTACACAACTCTTTACTGGTAATTCCAAAAACAATATTCACAGAGGTTTACCTGTTTCAAACGTTATGATTCTGATCAGTGGCGTAGCTAGGATTTTCGGGCCCCTATGCGAAAATTATCAGTGGGCCCCCTTCGTCAGCCTTCAGGCTACAATAAAGTTAAACGAAGAAATAAACTGCTACTTAAGATGGAGGATTTTAAATAATATTAATATTTTTAGGCCTATTTTTTATACGTCCTGATTGTGTATTTATACTATATTATTATGTAGTTTTGTAAAAATGTTACAGTCTTTCAGTTAATTTTTTTTAAGTAAACAAATAGAGGAGCGTCTTAAGGCGGGGTCAGAGGTGCGGTCCGCATTGGATGACAACATTTAGGCGTGACACCATGACAAAACATTGTACAATTTACTGTCAAACTAAGTTGTATTCAGCTAAAATAATAAAGATTGGTGAGAGAGGGGTGACACCCCACCAAAAATGAAAAATTGTTGGCGACGATGGGGTGACACGTAGGGTAACACCCGACTTTGTGACGCAACTAACCAAATACAATCTTTTTTTATTGCTAATGATTTATTTAGATCTGTGGGCTTTTTCATGCTTTTAATTTGTAAAATGATTAATAAATTCATTGAGCTGCATCCGTATGTTCGATTCTTAATCTTAGGATGGACAAGCTACTGACCCAATGGGCATATCTACAAATAATTAGATTTAGAATTCCATCATAGACATCAAAATCTCCTACCCGATCAACATAGAATGTTACAGAATGCTTATACTAACTAGCGTACCTGTCCGCATTGCTGCGATCTAGTCCCACATACCAGGTAACAAAACAATTTGTAAGGTTTCATCGACGCGTTACCAATTGTTTATGTTTAGTCGCGTGACCTTGTTTTTAAAACTGAGATAGGTTTAGTTAAAATG